AGAAGTGTTCAATAAAACATATATGTAAAACCAATACTTACAGAGTGTATAGAATTTTATTGTTGATACTTAGTGGGTCGTAACTATTTTCCATCCATCAGTAATTAAATATTCAGGGTCCCTTAAATTCTTTGAAGATGTGTATTTTCCTGTGGAGATAAGAAAAGAACCCTGCCCCCAACCTACCTGTATTCCTTACCATCAGTATGCTTGCCATCCTTGTGAATGAATTGTTATTTATCTTTTCCAAGTGGCTTCTCTTCTTCATACCGAACCTTTATTAATTTTGACGGTATCCACAATTTTTCTTCACCTGTGGAGATAAGAGCAAAACCCCTTCCCCAATGCAGCACATCTCCTGGCTTCCATTGTGAGGTCAGCACATCCTTGAAAAAAACTTGTTGATTTAGTTCAGTAGACTTTTCCATTATCCAATGTCTTTCTGCAGCTGTTGTTCCCTTCTCATTAGCATTGAGAAAATTCAAGGTTAACAAAGCATTATGTAACCTATTTCTGGGGGTGTTTTCCACCCTTTTCTGTTTGTTCAACATATCCTTTATAGTTCGATTTGATCTTTCTATGACTGCTTGACCTGTAGGATTGTATGGTATACCTGTAACATGCTTGATATTGTAATAATCAAAAAACCATTTCATTTTCCTAGAGACATAAGCAGGACCATTATCCGTCTTTATTTGTGTAGGTATACCCATGATAGCCATGACTTCTAATAAATGAGTGATTACAGAATCATCTTTTTCTGAACTTAAAGCAGTTGCCCACCGAAAGCCTGAATATGTGTCAATGGTGTGATGAACATATTTTAATTTGCCAAATTCTGCAAAGTGGAACACATCCATCTGCCAGATTTCATTCCTTTGGGTGCCCTTTGGATTAGCAGTGGTGTTTGGTTATAGAAAGAGCAAGTAGGGCATTTCTTTACAATCTCCTTAGCTTGTTGCCATGTAATTGAAAACTCTTTCTTCAAATCTTTGCTATTAACATGATGTTTTTTATGAAATTCAGAGGCTTGTAGCACACTACCAATCAATAATTGATCAATTTCTGCATTACCTTCTGCTAGAGGACCTGGCAGACCCATATGGGCTATTTAACATACCATGGGGGAGGACGGCCCAGTGGTACCTCCTCGAAGGTTGAGAATTATTATAAGTAGGCACTGTGAAGGCAAATTTTTCTCTATCTTCTTTTTGTAAAGGTATAGTGAAAAAACAATCCTTTAAATCAATAACTATAAGAGGCCATCCTTTTGGTAATAAAGAGGGCAAAGGGATTCCAGATTGCAGAGGGCCCATAGTTTGAATAACCTTGTTGATAGTTCTGAGATCTGTCACCATTCTCCATTTACCTGATTTTTTCTTAACCACAAATACAGGAGAATTCCAAGGGCTGGTAGATTCTTCTATATGTCCAGCATCTAATTGCTCTTGTACCAGCTGTTCTAAAGCCTGTAACTTTTCCTCAGCTAAAGGCCATTGCTTTGTCCATATTGGTTTCTCAGTCAACCATTTTAGAGGCAAGGCTGTTGGTATCTCTGAAGGAACATCAATTGCTTGTTCTTGAACAGCCCGAATGCCCGGTTTTCTCCGTTTGTAATATATTTTAATATTATTCTCAGAAATATAGGCTTTAGAAGTAGCAGGAATGTTAATTTGGGTATTCCATTGTTGTAATAGGTCACGGTCCCATAAATTCATTGCGATATTGGCTACATATGGCCTTAATTTTCGTATTTGTCCCTCTGGCCCTATACATTCAACCCATCTTGTGCTCTCCCTTACTCGAGATAGGGTTCCAATTCCCAGGAACTGAACATTTACATTCTGAAGAGGCCAATACGGATGCCAAGATTCTGGGGTAATGATACTTACATCAGCACCTGTGTCCAGCAGGCCAGTAATAAAAATGTCATTTACACACACTCTCAGCTTAGGTCTTTGATCATTTATAGAAGTTTGCCAAAACACACGTAACCCATCTTTCTGAACATTATTGCTTGTAACAGTAGGCATGTGGCTTCCTAATTGTCCTGAGGAGGCACGTTCTCTGCAGAAACTGGAAATGACTGAACCATGTTTGCCATGGGGGCCTGTGAGGCTCCCCCTCTCACATTTCCTGTCTGTATCAGGTTGCCTTGTCTATCTCTTGTAGACCTGCATTCATTCGTCCAGTGTCTGCCTATTCCACATCTTCTACATAAACCTGAAGGCTGAGTCCTCCTATTTCTGTTATTTCTAGAAGATGCATTATTATTATTTCTGAAAATCCGTTGTTTACAATTCCTTTTCATATGATCCATTTTGCCACAATTAAAACATTTGGTATTCTGGTGTCTCCTTTTACCATTGGAAATTGCTTCTTCTACCCATGCTTCACTGCCATAGACAAATGTATCAACATTCAGTGTATGCAAGACCCATTCTTCCAAGGGTGCTGATCTGAACTTTAAAGGCCCCAAGATCTTTTTGCATTCCACATTTGCATTTTCATAAGCCAAAGACTCAATCATTATACGTCTTGCTTCTGGGTCAGATATCCGTATTTGTACAGCCTTGGTTAGTCTTTGTAAAAAGTCACTAAAGGATTCTCTCTGACCCTGTTTAATGCTGACAAATGATTCCATTCTCTGTCCTGGGTCTTGTACCCTGTCCCAAGCCCTTAAGGCTGCTGTAGTACACATGGAGAGTGTGTTTTCATCCAAATTAGCTTGTTCCTGAGGGTCAGAAAAGAGCCCTTCACCTAGAATTTTATCTAGGGAAATGTCAATTCCCTTCGCCTTTTCCTGCTGTTCTAAAAGTCTAACCTCTTGCCTGAATAAGCATTTCCATTTCAATTGCGGTCCACTCTCAAGGACCGCAGAGCTCAACTGAAGCCAGTCTGAGGGGGTTGCTCTGCTTGTTGTGGCCCAAGATTTTAGCATCTCTTTAACAAAAGAGGCGTGCACCCCAAAAGTCATAACAGCCTGTTTAATTTCTTTGAGATCATTCATATGGACAGGCTCCCATGTATCTTCCTTGATGACCCTAGGGTTTCTGGAACCAATCACCTTTTCTGTTGTCATTACTGGAAAGGCAGGTAGAGCTGTAGGTAGAGCTTTGTGGAAATTGTCCCGGAGGGATTTATCCACAGATGTAGTTAAAATTTGCCTTTATACCCTTTGTTCTTCTTCATCAGAATTTAGAAATTCCTCAATCTTTTCAATTCTATTCACCATTGCCTTCTGCAATGTCTGAATCTCCTGTCCAGAATTATGTTCCAAAGCCTTCATTGAGGATTCTAAAGTATGAAGTTTGTCCATTAGAGATAACTTCTCATCTTTGGACATAATTTTTATGGCATAAACCGTGTCTTCTTGTATTGACACTCTTTCCGCCAATCTCTCATAAGCTTTAGACAAAATTTGATTGTCACATTCAGCAGTTTTGATTCTCTCAGTTAATGTTTCAGTTCCTTCAGAAAGGGACTGCTGGTGTTTACGATCCAAATCAGCTGTTCCTTCTTCCATAGTAATGAATTTCTCCTTAACATCAGCCTGTACCTTTTCTAAATTTTGCTCAGTTAACCGAGTCATGTTAAACAAAGATCTGTTCTCTTCCTGGAGAACTTCAAACTGATTCTTGAGAAGATTGTTGTCATTCTCAATAGTTTTTAAACGTTCAACCTCTGCCTTAACAATCCTGGATTCGTCTCTTAAAGACTTTATCATATTTCTATTGTCAAACCATATAGTGCCAAGGAAAACTACGAATCCCAGAAATATCCCTAGATGTGGGGTGATAGACACCTCTTGTAAAATCTCCCACATGCTACACTCAAAAAGACTGTTAAAATCTAAAATAGTCACGTTCTCAGACATTTTATTTATAAAGGAAAAAATTCTTTTACCTGCAATGACTGGTTCCTGCCAGTGGTGGCGAAAGAGTCCACTTGAGTCCACGTGGCCTAAGTCTGAAATAAATGACTCAAAAACAAAAATTGGAGCAGACACCAGGCTGATAAATAGCAATTGGACCAAAAAGGGAACAGAGAGGAAGCTGCCAAAGTGAACAAATCAAAGGGATGCATGGCGTGGAGCCAGCTTGCAGGGACTGCAAGGCCTCCCTGCCGCCGTCACATGACCCGAGTGCAGGGTGGAGGTGGGAGGGGAACAGAGCAGAGCTGTGTACAGAGGCACTTGTACCACTGTCGGGCAGGGCCAGGCGCACAGACTCGACTGATTCCAAACTGCCGGGGAGGGCTAATTCTCCCTTCCCGTTTAGCGACTTTCTAGCAGGCGCCAGGAAAAATTGAATCGCTCTGAATCTCAGCTGCTTCTGCAGCCGTAGTCAGGCAGAAGCAAACCGGCAAGGAGTAGTCCTGAGAAGGTACAATCTGTGCGCAGAGGGAGACCTCCAGAGGGGGGGTGCTGCTGGCTCCCAGCGGTCGCCCCCAGGAGCCTCCGATTTGGGGCGGGTATCCTCAAAGCCTCACGGGGCGCCAAATATGTAGCGGCGTAAATAAATGCAGACAGATTGTAAAGAAATATATACAGCTTTAATGGAGGAATAAACTCACAGAACCGAGGTTCCCGCGTAGCACAGGAAGCAGGAAAAAGGGGGGCGCAGGCTCCCGCACGCCCAATTTAATCAGTCAACATTCGCCTGAGGCAAGCCCACTCCTAAGGAGCTGGCTTAACCCTACACCATAAGAGTATCAGTGCCCCCAACCAGCCAGAAGTTGCCTGGAATACTATGCCCACATTCCCAAAAAATGGACTATGACTATTTTCCTTTGTTTAAAAAAAGAAAAAGAGGGGGAAGTCATGTGGGAGAATTGTCTGTATTCTGTCAATCATGTTTTAAATAAATGCTGATTGGCCAGGCAGGAAATATAGGCAGGTCAACCAGACACGAAGTAGAGGTGGGGCAATGAGCACAGGAGAATTCTAGGAAGGAAGAAGCCCATTCCTCCGGATTCCTGCCCAGACCACGGAAGAAGCAGGATGTGGCTTGCCTCGCTAAGAAAGGTACTGAGCCATGTGGCTAACATAGATAAAAATAATAGGTTAATATAAGCTTTAAGAGCTAATAAGAAGACTGAGTTAATGGGCCAATCAGTTTATAATTAATGCAGACTCTCTGTGTGATTTTTTCTGTGACTAAATGGCTACCAGGACAGAAACCCCATCAAGCTGGCCTTCATGTTACACTGGTGGGAATGTAATCTGGTACAGTCACTTTGGAAATCAATATGGCAGTTTCTCAGAAAATTTGGAATCAATCTACCTCAATACCCAACAGTACCACTGTTAGGTATGTATAGAAAGGATGTACACTCACACCACAGGACATTTGCTCAACTATGTTCATAATAGTATTATTCATATTAGCCAGAACCTGGTAACAGCCTAGATGCCCCTCAACTGAAGAATGGTTAAAGAAAATGTGGTACATTTACACAATGGAATACTGCTCAGTAGTTAAAAAAAAAAAGCAATGACATCTTGAAATTTGCAGACAAATGGACATAAGTAGAGAAAGCAGTCCTGAGTGAGGTAGCCCAGACACAGAAAGACAAATATAATATGTACTCACTCATAAGTAATAATAGACATAAAGCAAAGAACAACCAACCTATAGTACATAACCACAGAGAACTTAGACAACAAAGAGGACCCTAAGAGAAACATGCATGGATCTGCCTAGAAAAGGGAAAAAAGACAAGATATCCTGAGTAAATTGGGAGCATGGTGGGCAGGGTTGAGGATGGAAGGGTAGAGGGGAGGCAGTGAGGGCAGTGAGGGAAAATGTATAACACATTCCTATCCAAACAAATAAAATGAGACAGATTTCAAAAATATGAGAACCCGAGTCTGAACCAGCAGAGCCTATGGAAAGCCAAACTTTGTAGTGCATCCTGCAATCCTCATTCTCCTCCAGAGAGCTGAGAGGAAGAATCAGGAGCGTTCCTGGAAGCTTGTGAGCCAGCTAGCCTGGCATGTATAGTGGCCAACTGCCTCAAGCCAGTTGGAAGTCAAGGATGGACACCCGAGGTGTGGCGGTGTCTGCTTTCTCCATGTGTGCCATGGCCCCGGTGCACGCACACTCACATCCCAAAACACCACCACACATATGCAAAGATAAAAAATAAATAAATAAAAGAATTTGAAATGCACTTGCACATTGCAATCTCCTCAAATACCAGTGCTTAAGAAAGAAAATATGTGAACTGTCTGGTCTACGATGTCTATAAGAAGTCACTGAAATTACAGGATGTGCTTCTTTACCACTACAGAAGAAGAAGGCATGCTCTGTTCTCGGGTTGTTATCTAGACACGTCATCATGTGACCAAGACGTGTCATAAAAATACCAAATATGGACACATATCTTTAAATTCTTCAATAGAGAAAAAGTATTTGTTTCTGACCTTATCATTTGTGAATAAAGGCTTCTTACCATAAAAATGATGGAGAGGACAATGGAAAAGGAACCATTTTCCCCTCACCAGGGCATCTACCTAGAAATCAGACTGGCATCCTATGATTAATACCATCTGTGCAGCAGCATTCCTTGCTGGAGGCTGGGTTTCAGGAAGGAAGGATTTATTATATCCTAAGATGTCCACGAACAAACTCCAGGGACAGATGTGGTCAAGACAGGACTTAAAGCATTTGGCGAGAATATTCCAGTTATTCTTCAAGGGACTTGTCAAACATTAAATTAAGTGAAGCAGAAGGTTTTTATGATTGTTCTACCCCTTGTCCTTCAGTGGAATGTCAGAGTTATGTGGCTGCAGCTAATGCTACCAAATCTGAGTGTCTGAGTGCTGTTCTGTCTTGAAGCATTCGTCACTAAGAGATTATTTGAGGCTTGGCAGTAGCTTCACATACAGACTGCCCCAGTAAGAAGCTAGAATGATCTTAAAAGTTCCTTCAAACTGGTATCACAATTGGGGATTGTTTCTATTTTTGAATTATTGCAGAATCTTGATTTTACATTTTTTTAATCATAATCATAAAATTTCCAAAGGTTATGCTCACACCCACTTTTTTTGTTGAGTGCAGATTTAAAAAAGCAAAATGGCCCTATATTTTAACTGTGTGCTGTGCAGGTGAATTAGGAGCAAGGGCATTTGGTCAGTTGGTTCATTCAACTGGGGAAGTCTACTGCTGGGGAAGGAATTGGGGCATGCAGCTTGAGATGTTGCTCAGTGGTAGAGTACTTGTCTAGCATATGCAAGGTGGCAGGCTTAATATTCATCAACAGCATGCATATGCACACACACACACAAACACACGCACACATACATACATTTGGTGTTGCAAAGAGTATGAGTTTTCAGCTAAAAGCAACTTGGGATGGAAAATCCTTCCTTATTGGTCTTTTTCAACTGAATGATGGGTTTTTTGTTTTGTTTTGTATTTTGTTTTCTTCCCTACCAGGTCGTCTGTCAAGTTTCAGAAACCTTCCTGGTCTAATGGTCCTAAAGACAGAGGACAGTAAGCAATGATGGGAAGTGGACATTTCCACTGTGTTGGTCTTTTCCTTACAGCTTGATAAAAAACTATTGAACACAGACAGAATCAAAGTACAGCATAAGCCACCCACCCCATACCCAAGTGTGGCCCAGCATCGCATGATAAGCTTTTGAATACATGTTCCTAGGCCCAAAACCCAATCTTTAGAATCAGGATTTCTGGAAAGTGGAGTTAAGAATATCCTTTTTAATCCGATCCTTCAAGGCATTTTGACGTACTCTGAATTTCTGACAAGGATGTCAATGACCTGTTCGACTTTGTAAATTATAGCTGTTCAGGCCGGCTTGTTCTGAAGATGAGAAGGAGGCATGAGCTGGGGTTGTAGAATGATGATTCTGGGGTGATCAAACGTGATTAGAGAATAGCTGAAAGACAGACTACAGACTCAGGCCTTGCACATATATTTCATTTGAATAACACAGCAGTTTTGAAGATAAAAGAAGTGCTTTTGTACTAGGCGTGTCCTCCTCAGCCTTTCCCAACCCACCTCTTACTGCTCATGTAGCCTCTTGCCTCTGGAGGCATTTGGTCTTCAACTCCTAAGAAGAGTGGCCCTTCCTGCACTATCGAATTCATGGAGTATGAACTTGCTCATAACAGGTGGCCCTCAAGGGAATGAAAAGGTCTTTCTCTGATTTGTCTTTAAGTGTTTGATTTGCTGGAAGGCGTGCCTTTGAAGTCATACTTCAACGTGTATTATTATGGGATCTCAAAGCTATTATATTCTTCCTACCATCTGAGCCCTTTCAAACTCCAGTTTTCCTCACCACTAGAGGCAGAAGGTTCGTGGGATCACAATCTCATGTTCACCTGCCAGTGCAGGGCCGGGTGCAGCATGATCATTCCCCATCTTCATTGTGAAATAAAGGCCAGGTTTTCAGGTCTGCGAAAGGAACCTCTCTGCATTGTTCATTCTGCAATATTTTCATATAAACACCTTAATTGGTGTCAAATCTGTTTGTTTGTTTGTTTGTATGTTTGTTTGTTAAGTTAGTGTAAACTGCAGTCTGCTTGGGCCTGAAGATGAGCCTGCTAAATATTTTCAGATGTTTTTTATTTCCTTAGCTAGGAGTTGGATTTGAACCAGAGCTTGGGGGTGAAAGAGCAATGTGTAATATACAGAGATATGGAGTTTGACATATGAAATAAAATAATGTAATGTTTTTAATATTTAAGATGAAAATAGCAGCAGTAAAACATCATGAATGGAGAAAAATGTGAATACCTGTATATTTGAATTTTAAATGCCTGCAGATGTTGGATTTTAATCAGAGCCGGTGAGATTCTGACTCTGACAGAGGCAAAACTGTGAGATCTGTTTTCTTGAATTGCTTCCACATTTTATGCTTGAGATTTTTATTGCATCTAGCACTGCATCGTCATGTATTTATGTAAAGTGCCAGCATCCATTGACTCTGCGTGTTCTTGATGCTTAACATATAGAACAGCATGTAGTGGGGGAAAGACACCCCTGCCCTGGCCCCGTGCAGAGTCTCTCTGTGACCTTGTGGGAAGGAAGGCATTTAACTCCTCTCTGCTTTAGTTTCCCTAGTCACAACCCCCCATCCAGTTTTTCCCAGTCTACTGGGGCGTACCGGGGCTTATTTGATCTGTGCGCTGATCTTAATTGATCTTGCCTTGCAAGTGCATTGTTAGGGAATTTCATCACTGTGCTCAGAACACAGCACGTCCTTATCCAAATCCAGATTGTGGAGGTCAGTAACGTGTCATGACCTTGAGACGCAATCAAGAGATGCAGTACACACGAGATGAGGTGGGCACTGCTGCTGCTGGCGTAGCCTGGCACCTTGTTTAATGGCAAACTGGCTTTTATCTACCCAGGGTGACGTTGTGTGAAATAATGACAGAAAAGGTCGAATGGTGGGTAGGCACAGACACCAGGAGCACACTTGATTGTTACCAAGTGTACTGACTGTACACAACAGCATGCGTACTTACAACCGATAGGAAGTTCCCTGACACCAAAATTGCGTAAAACAGGGAGAGTATGCTGCGCTGTGCTTTTTGGTGACTATGATGCCCTTAGATGACAAAGTTTTCAGCTCTATTACAGTACTGTGGGACCTTTGTCATATATGTGGTTTGTCAAAGACCAAATGGCTGCAAACACATTGGGTGGATCTTTTTGCAGAGTGATGGAGAGAGGAAAATACACCCCTCATAAACCAGGCAGATGCGCTTCTAGTAATAGTAGGTCAAAATCTAGGTCAGCTTTAACTATCATGCATATTTATGAGATAGTTCTGTTTCTCCATTTTTACATCATATTTCCTAAATTGGTCAGAAAGCCAATGATTTTAAATTTTACACTGTAATTCTACTACGTACAAAAAAAATACAGGTAAGGGATAAAGATTTCTTTTAGAAACAAAGAAATCTAGAAAGTAGTTGAGCAATATTTCTATACTATGGAAATAATAAAACTATTAACATAAAAATCTGTACCCAGTGAAATAGTATTCAAAAACAGACAAAACAGGCTATCTAAACTACAGAGCCTAAATAATTCATGTCAATGCTAGGGTTTCAGCATTAAATGTCCCCCAAGGCCCAGATCTTAAAGAATTAAACTCTCCAACCTGTGGTATTATTGGAAAGTAGAAAGTTTGGACATTATAGCTATCCCCAACTCCATATCCAATCCAGTAACTACCAGATCCCCCCTTAAAGTTGCTTCCTGGTTCAAAATTGCCACCATCACCACCACTACCACCACTAGTATTCCCCAAACCAAAGTTCCCTCCTCTTCCACTCCTAGAACTTTGGACTTCCTCCATTTCTTGTCTAGATGCCACCTTTCTAACTTCTGCCACTGGGGCCACGGGATCAAGATCACCAAAAGGAACAAAGCCAAAGTCTCCTTTTTTTCCAGACTGCCTATCAGTGCTCCAGAGAGGAGAGATGACAAAGAGGGCCCAAAAAGGGTTGCGTGGATTTCCCTGGAAAGGGGAAATAGAAGAGATCTTCTGAGTGAAGTGGGAGTGGGGGTGGGAGTGAACAGGCTACAGGGTGGGAACTTGAGGGAGCAGGTTGAGCAGGTTGGGTACAGGAGGCAGGTTGGGGGCAGGACTGAGGGAGAGAATATCTCAAGTATCTTGATGAGGGGGTATATCCAGTTTAAGGAGAAACATGGTGCCAGGGAATCTCCCAGAAATCCACAAGGATGATCCCAGCTAAATAAGACTCCTAGCAATAGTGGAGAGGGGGCCTGAACAAGCCATCAGCTTCTATAATCGATTGCTGACAACCCTAATTGTTATCAGAGAGTCACTATCTGAGGGAAGCAGATGCTGAGATCCATAGCCAAGCACTGGGCTGAGCTCCGGAGTCCTCCTGAAGAAAGGCAGGAGGGATAGTACCAGCCAGGGGTGGTCAAGGACATGACAGCAAAACCCACAGAGACAACTGACCTGAGCTCAAGGGAGCAGATGGACCTGGACCTCCATGGGACCGACCTGCATGTGTGTGACTGTTTGTAAGACTCCTAAACAGTGAGATCAGGGCCTGTCCCTGGCACTTAGTTGGCTTTTGGGAACCTGTTTGCCCAGCCTTTATGCAGGGGGAGGAGCTCCGTCCTACCTCCACTTGATGTGTTAATGCTTTGTTGAGCCCAAAGGAGGCCTGCCCCTTTTTCTGGTTGGAGAGGGAGGAAGAGTGAGTGAGAAGATGGAGTAATGGTAATGGGAAGGAAATGGGAGGAGCGGAGGGAGGGGGAACTGTGGTCAGTGTGTGAAATAAACGAAAAAAATGTTAATAAAATAAAATTTAAAAAAGGAAAAGGAAAAAGAAAATTTGGGAATTGGGGCATGGTGAAAGGAAGTTAGGTCATAGGGCAGTGTCCTTATGTAAGATCTTCTGCCTTTGTTCCCAGGTGCCCTGAGGTGACCAGCTTTCTCCATACTGCCCTCCCTGCCACAGGGCTGAAAGCAGCGGGCCAACCTGTCACAGGCCTCTACCCAAGTTCTAAGTCAGCTTTTCCTCATTTTACATCTTAAATATCATGTCATAGTAATGAAGAATTAGCTAAGATAGCAAAAACACACTCATGGAGGGAATATTTAAGAAATCTGTAGAGTGGAAGCTGCGAGAGATGGAAATATGGATCCACAACAAGATCAAAGAACCCCCCCCTCCCCCAGTACTTCTCATTTTAATTGTTTGGATACATTGCTATACATCTTTCCCTCACTTCTCTTCCCTCCTCCCTGTCCCCTTCTACCTTCCCATGAGTCTTGAAAAGTACCAAGAGCTAAAGCTAACTGTCCTCAGTCACGGAAGGGTGGGCACTCCAGGTGTGTTCTATGGAGTGCGATTTGGACATTTCTTTTTGTAAACCAGTGTGTAATGTTTCACATTAATATACTCTATATAAAAATAATAAAGTGATACATGTAGCACTCCTATTGAGTGGATGTTGAGCACACTCAGACAACCATCAGTTATTCTCAGGGTACTCGTGTCGGGTAAATACTCGTTGTTGTAGCCTCTTGACCAAGAGGGTCTTTGCCTCAAGTTTTGTCAGGTCGCCAAGAGCCATGACAATAACTTGCATTATTTGGAGGAATCTTTTGGATCCCCCAACCAACAACTTGAAAGCAAGTGTCCCTTGCCCAGCTCTGCGATGTTTGTTAGATAGTCTATGGCTTCTAGGGAGAGCATTATTTCTTTATGTGGGCTAACTCCAATTCAGTTTTTCATGTGTGTGCATGTTATATGGGTATTTACATTTTTATTTCTTTTCTGTGTAAAGGTGTTTTGCTTGCGTGTACATCTATGCACCGTGTGTGTCTGGGGCCTACCAAGTCCAGTAGAGTACATTGGAACCCCTGGGATGGGTGCTGCAGGTGTTTGTAAGTTGCCCTAAGGGTACTGGGGATGGAAGCTGATCCTCTGTAAGAGAAGCCAGTACCTGTAACCACTGAGCAATCTCTACAGCCTATAAATTTGAAAGCTTATAAAATAATGTTTCCCTTGCCTTTTTCAAGCATCTTTTGTCTTTTTTTTTTGCTTATACTTCCTCTTTCTACATGACACTTTCCACCCCAATCCATTTAAGTCCCTCTCCCTATATTTTCCCCTCTCCCCCTCCATAGCACCTGTGTTTTATGGTTCCCCCTCCCTAAAGTTCTTTCTCCACCCTTCCTCAATGGTTCCTGTAGTAAAATTAATAAAAACCCAGAGACAGAAATTGGGGTTCAACCTGAAGGTCAGAATAGCAAAACAGCCAGCCACTGGCTCTTAGCTCTACCTCAGTCCGAAATGGTGATCCTGCCTCCAGGAATCTCAGAATGAGACTGTGTGTGAGAGCTGTCTCTTCTGATTTTATAATCCTCTCTAGTGCTGGGATTAAAAGCGTGCACCACTACCACCTGGTTTATATGGCAAACTAGTATGGGTAATGGGATTAAAATAATTTATATTCCATAATTTCTCATAAACGCATTGTTATCAACCCCACGTTGATTAATGGTGTATGTCACCACTGCCTGGTCTGTAAGGTTGATCATTGTTGCTATTTTACTCTCTTACCTTTAGGCATGCTTTATTTATTCAAATACAAATGAAATATCACTAAAGGTCACTTCCTACTTTCTTGGCATCTGCAGTTACTCAAAGTGATACACTCAAACCTAGCTTCAGTCAGTGACTGATGTGAGCAAAATTGTATGGATTCTAAATGTCACACATTCCATCTTGTTATCTTATAATCCCCATACCTGGAAGCTACTTGCTGTGTCCAGACTGGCTCACGTGGGTGGGTTGAGCCCCAGAGGGAGGTGGCACTTCTTTTCATAGCCCCAAAAAAGGCCTAGTTAACAATAACCATGGACTGCTAGAAAAGTAAAGGAATACACCTTCAAATACATCTTGCCCCCAGCTGTTGAGACATCTCCATAGTGACTTTGTGGAGCATAGACTTTATTTCTTGGTCTTGCTTTAATTATTGACTCCACCCCCCAAACTAAAAGGGTTGCACAATGGTGGGTTTGGGTTGCTGTTTTTGAGTATAGTTTGTTATGAAGCGAGAGAGGACAAGATTGGCTGCCATTTCCACTTTGCAAAGCACCTAGGGACTTCTATTCAAGCTTTGGAAGTGAGCAACAATCAAGTAAATCAAGTCTTCTCTTGAATCTTAGCATTTGTTCAACACACACATTATTCCATGGCCTTCCTTGAAATTGATTTATCAATTGCCCTATGGGAAATATTTGCTGTCTCAAGAAGTTTCAATGTGTTTCAATCTCCATCAACTTCCACAAAATAAAGCTCTCAGTGAGCTAATGTTAGAATTTTGGCATTGGTATTATTATCTACAAAATGTGGAACTGCCTCCTCTTGGGAGCATCCAAGAAACTAAGGGTTTGGTGCAGTTTCATTGTGCTTGCCTATCTTGTGAGAGTACCAGGCAGGGTACTTCTAAACTCTCTCATATGTCATGGAGCTTGACTTTGACAGAGATAATATATTCTGCCATCCTGTAATTGCTTTCTGAGGACACCAGGGTGTGAACACAGCATCCTGCATGCAGGGTTCCTTCCTAAATCATGACGTGGCTCTCACCACATTTGTTCCCTTGTCTGTGATAATTACACGACCATTTTTTTCAGGGACGGTCTCATGCTATAAATATTTGTTTAATCAGAATCACTAAGTTAGTGACACCCAGGAATCTCACGACTGCCAAGGAAAGCAGAAGCAGTGCTGGATTTGTCATTAATCTCTGGCTCTGTCAAACTCGATCAGACTCCTGCTTCTGTCTGCATGGCCTGATGTGGATATGCAAAACCGCAGTTTACTCAATACTGCTCACCTGCTTGTATAGAGCCAAAATAAAATGCAAAAGTCAGATTTCTTTGAACTCTTTTTTTTCTTGTAATAACTTTTATTTCTTAGACTACAAAACTTGGGCAAATCTCTATGTTCTATTACCATCGACTATTGCCAATGGTTGGTATTTTTCTCCTGTGGGTTGCCATGTCCTCCTTTGATATGATGGTTTTTATTTTATCTTATTTTTATCTTGTCATGTTTGGTTGTCATCTCTTAGAAGCCTGCTCTTTTCTAATGGGAGACAGAAAAGGGGGTAATACAGAGGAAAGGAGAGTGAAGAAACTACAATTGGGCGATAATGCATGAGAAGAAAATCTACTTCAAAAATAGGGAAAAAGGAAAAACAAACCAACAACAACAAAAAGAAAACAAAGAATGTTTGTTCTTAAAAATAACATTAAAAATGAGGAGTTGTCTTCTTCAAATGCTCTCTAAGTTTGTTTAGTAAAAAGTTATGAGTTGCATAAACTCATTTTTCATTAGCGTTTTCTCCTTGTTTCCAATGTTCTTCTCTGAATTTGTGAGCAGAGTTAACTTGGAACTTGTAGACATAATCCCTACTCTGTTCCCTGGCTTCAGAGTTCTCACTCCTTGGTGGCTTGGGTTTCACGGGCTTGACAGAATGTCACAGTGGTAGGAATGTGTACACGATTTCTGACATCATTACTTTGCAAAAGGAGACAACAAGAATACAAAAGGAATACAGGAAGAGCCTAGATACAGCCCTCAATGACACACCCCAGCGGCATCATCCTCTAGACAAGTTCCGCCATCATCCAGCAATGTCATTGAATTATGAATCCGTCAAGAGAACGTTAGTTCCAGGCCCTCCTGATGTCAGCAAATGCCTTCAGATGGCAAATGCTTTCACTCACCTGAACATTTCTGAATCCAGTCGAGCTGACAACCAAAGTCAAATATCACAGTAAGGTTGTTATTTTAGATTTTATTAGCCTTGGAACTTAAAAAATTCTTTTTCAAATTGAGAATGATTAGAGAGTCATAAGCAATTGCAAAGATGGTACAGGCAGGCCTGCGAATACCTCATCTAGATTCTGCCAACTTCCACACTGAATGTTGTGGGCAGGATCCATGGTGGGAATATGCTATGGATAGTGTTTGCCCAGTTCATGTCTGCTCTTACATTGCTGTGCCTGGAAGTTCTTTATGCAGTCCAGTGCCTCTTTAGGCATGCTGTTGTTGTACGAGGAGCAGCAGGCTGCATCCCGCAGCCCGGCTAGCTTAACCCCCGAAATAACCACATGGAAATTGTATTAATTAAATTACTGCCTGGCACATTATCTCTAGCCTCTTATTGGCTAACTCTCACATCTTGATTAATCCATATCTACACATTAATCCTGTGTATCACCACGTGCTTGTGGCTTACTGGGAAAGATTCTAACTAGCATCTGTCTCAGGCAGGAGAATCATGGCGCCTGACTGTGCTCTTCTTCCCAGCATCCAGTTCTGTCTTTCCCACTTACCTAAGTTTCTGCCCTATCAAAAGGCCAAGGCAGTCTCTTTATCAACCAATGAAAGCAACATATCCTACACCATTTCCCCTTTTCTGTTTAAACAAAAAGGAAGGCTTTAACATAGTAAAATTACATATAACAGGTATCAAGCAAGAATTACAATTACAATATTTAGATCTATTTTATCTTTTATCATAACAAAGAAAAACTATAACTATCTATCAATTCTTCAACTCCATCAAAGACTACGGACAAACCACAGTCAAAACATAACATTTTACATCCTCCTCTTGTTCTAATGGATGTCTCACTTCTGCTCTGGTGCTCAGCTCAATTTCTACTTTATATTTAGTCTACAACCCTATTCCATGGAACGAAACCATTCATGTGGGTGGGTTTTCCACCCTCAGTTATGTAGCGGTACTTTCTTATCAGCGGGTCAGCCCACAAATAACAGCACGGAGGCTTATTATTACCTATGAAAGCTTGGTCTTTAGCTTAGGCTCATCCCACTAGCCTTTAAAACTTAAATTAACCTGTTTCTATTAATCTATGTTCAGTCATGTGGCTTTATACCTCCCCACTATTCTGCATGTCCAACCCCTTCCATGTCTTGCTGGCATCCTGCTCTCTCTCTTCTTTAAGCATCCTCTTTCTCCCCAGAAGTTCTGCCTTTTCCCTCCTCCTAGCTATTGGCCGATCCAGCTCATTATTAACAATCAGAAGGTGTGTCAGGCAGAGACACATCTTTCTGGCTAAATAAATATTCCGAAACAGTTAAAACCTTTCAAACTGAAAACACCCTCACAGACACACCCACAGGTGTGTTCTTATGGTGATTCTGAATCCAGAAAAGTTGACAACAATATTTAACCATACAACTCCCCTGGATATTTTTTTTTAAAAAAAAACTGTGCAGATTTTCCATGTAGGCTGGTGTGCCTTCTGTAAATAAGAACAGTCCTGTTTCTTGCTTTTAGATATATGTACCTCTTATTTCCTTTTATTATAGTAGAACTTTTAGTTCTATGTTGAAGGAAACAATAAGAGCACGTACTCATCCCTTGTCTGCAGCTGTGGTGTTTGAAGGAGAATGGCTCCCACAAGCTCATGTATTTGAATACTTGATCCCCAGTTGGCAAAACTGTTTGGGAAAGTTTAGGAGGTGTGGCCTTGTTGGAGGAGGTGTGTCACTGGGGATGGCCTTTGACATAGTTGACATATTTGTATAACTAAATATTTTTGTCTTTATTAACTTGGAGATGTCACCTCCTTTAGATATCTTAAAGATATGTAGCCCTCATTTTTCTAACTTTTATAAGATACAATTTGCAAGATTTATACATTATCCATCCAAATAATATGAAAACTTTACAATAGTTTATTTTTGAAGATAGCTCACCCGGTGTTTTTGGAATAGTATATTTGAGTATTATCTTTTTTTAGAATTATGCAGAAGACTGTTGTTATTGTTTATGTTCCCAATGTTTGTTTTAACTTATAAGTTTATTAAATTCTCATTTGCTTTTCTGCACCCAATACTTTGCACGTTAGAGCATTGCTCTGATAAGGACCCAGGAAGGCTTCCCCTTGCTAAGGTAAGTTGGCAGCAAACTCTCTGAACTTCACCTTACGAAAGTGCCTCTGTTCTACATTCACTGGGAAAGACACAGGAAAGAAAGTTCTAAGCTAGTCACTATTTTCTCCAGTTCTTTTGAGTATACTTTGTCATTTGTTTTTTGTCAGGAAGTCAGCTCTTCGCCTATTCTTCACCCCTTTGAAGGGCCTTTGTCAGTTTCCCCTCGTTGCTTTGAAGCTGTTCCTGACATGTCTGCCCCAGTTGGGTACGTACCTAGTAGTGTAGTTCCAGGAGACACCGAAGGAGAAGGACAGAATGGCAGGGAAATAACAAAGGAGAAGGAGGAGGAGGAGGAGGAGGAGGAGGAGGAGGAGGAGGAGGAGGAGGAGGAGGAGGAGAAAAGTGAAGAAAAGGAGAGGGGGGGAGGAGGTGAAGATTCACGTGGCCTTTATAACCTTCCTGGAGTGACTGGGAGGTCCCTGGATAGGTGACCTACAACTGAGAAACTTGTGCTTGACAATTTGACTTGCATAGACATAAACAGTGGAAGCCCACCTTACAGATGTGCTTCAGCTATCATACCAAAGCCCTCAATCACAGCTGACATACTGACCTACAGGGTATGTTCTACAACAAAATAATACTTTTTTGAGCAAAATAAAACCATCTGGTAGTAGTTCTCTGTGACTCATAGTTAATATTTCCCAGCTCCAGCCATTCATAACAACTAGTGGGGAGGGAGGGAGGGAGGGAGGGAGGGAGGGAGGGAGGGAGGGAGGGAGGGAGAAGAGAGAGAAAAGTCTACAAAATGCACCATTTAAGTAAGCCATTGTGTGAACATCAGAGTATACTTAAGAACACTGGCAGGGCTCCAACGTTACCAGCCCCTGGTATTGCACAGAACCACCATTATATGAGCTATTCATGGGTGATGAACCCCTCATTCTACAGTGTGTGAGTGTTGGACACAACGTACCCCTTCACATTTCCATTCTTCTGACACAGTTTCTGCAGTCGAGTCAACCCCAAGTCACAGAACCCTTCCTTCGCCCCTTAGCAAGGATTCCCCTGAGAGGCAATGGAACCACACGGAAGTTCACGCCAGTGGGGGTCTGTGACATGTTTCCAAGGTGCTGCTTCAAACCCCAGCCTGGGATTTTTGTTCCTCAGGTGGTGCTGGTGTGAGAGTTGCTTGTTGTTTTAGTGTCCAGAGGAGACAGTTGCTATGGTCTGATTCACCCAGCTATTGGCTTAGTAGTCTGCTGAAATACTCAGGGGTGGGTCCGGGTGAGGTTTTGGGAAAGAGAGCAACGGGAATGAAACTCAGAACATAGCTTTGTCACTGTTAGCAGATTATTTGATATTTTTGCTTCAGAATCCAACCACACCTGTTTCTATGAAGAAAACTGAGCCTTGAACAAAATCTTGACCTGATAAAACACCCAGTGGAAATCTTTATTACCCTTCTGTTAAATTGTTCTTTACAAAGAGCTGTGTGGACATTGGGTTTTAAAAGAATGTATATCAGGTTTCAAATTCTGAAACCCAGCTAGAGAGGTGTGCTTTGGAAATCTCAAAATAAAGACTCAAAATCGATGCCAAATCAACCAGAGAAGAAAAATGTATTTAGTTACATGTAGTTACATTAGATCATCTTGCCCACCGCACCCGATCTTGCACACACCCGGAATATCACTTACAGTCTGTTTCCTCATTCTGTCATATTTCCTAGCAACCGTTCGCTCCAAACCCATGTGTAAAAGCCACCCTCCATGATAAAGGCTTCACTTGAACAGGTCATTTTATTTGCTCACTTTTCAGGCCCTACTACGAACGCCCTCAGGAACGATGGAGGGAGATTTCTCCTAGGCTCATTAGGTCTACGGAAAAAAAGTTTGCATACCCTTACCTTTCCCCTTACTTTCCATCTTTTCAATTCCCCTCCTGAGACTTTTGTTTCACATCCTGTGTTCCTTGCTAATACTAGATTGGCCCCACATTCAGGGCTCCCTGAAGGCCTTTCTATCAAGCTAGTGTTGCTTACGGAACAGATGTGTGTGAGCTAGTGAGCCACACAGCAATGAATCAACCTAGTGTTTTCACTAATTGTTCATTTGGTCCACCTCCAGCATCCTCCTCCAGCATCCTCCTCCAACATCCTCCTCCAGCATCCGTCTCCAGCATCCACCTCCAGCATCCGTCTCCAGCATCCACCTCCAGCATCCGCCTCCAGCACCCTCCTTCAGCATCTTCCTCCAGCATCCACCTCCAGCATCCTCCTCCAGCATCCGCCTCCAACATCAGCCTCCAGCATCTGCCTCCAGCATCCGCCTTCAGCATCCACCTCCAGCATCCTCCTTTTTTAATGCTGGCTCCCTGAAAAGTGCTCAGGCCATCGTCAAGTGAATAGTCAGGGACAGGATCTCACCTCATTCTTCCACCCAATGGGCAGTGGGCACTCACCCACCTGAGACAGGCACATCTGAGTCCTCTAACTGTGGCTCACTCCCAGCATCTCCTGCCCGTGGCCAGAACTGTGATTCTGTTAGGCCCAGAGTCACATTTAGCCCACATTCCCCAGAAGCCTTTCGAAAAATGCACTAGAAATTTCACTTAAGATATGCTAGGTAACTATGAATTTGGACATTTCTGAATGTTGGTTCATTTTTGTTTTGTTAACATAGGCCTCTTTTGCTATGTCTTTATAATTTTAACTCCATAAATCATTGGCTCTGTCTCTTTAAGCTTACAAGAAGTTGTGGTTGGCAATGAGTTATCTTTCTTTGTATAGGAATTTGCTACTTTTTATAAGTGAATTCCTTACAATATTGTTTCCTCATAACCCTTGTAGGCATTATGCTGGAAATTGGTTCTGTGGTCACATAAGATCGGAAAATGCTTTTAAAAATAAGCTTAGTTTACAGAGAGAGTTTCATAATGATGCTCTCTGTGTTGTGGTCTTTGGTACGTGTGCAGAGGTGCTGAAGAGATGTGTAACCCCTCTCAAGTTCCTGTAATCTTATTCACCAAAGAGCCTTTGCATATTAGTATGACATGCAACATGCTTTGGGAAATAATATCTTACAAAACTCTTACAGGAACAACAACAGAAACCATGAGAATAAATATTCTTAAGTGAAAATTACCTCACCTTAGTGATATTTCATGAGAGTAATTATTTTTATATTGCATATTCACTCTCTAAGAATTCTGATTTCAAGTTTTCTTAGGGTTTGCCCCTCCCCTTAATGTGCGAGTTCATTTCCTAGAAACACACTCCCCTGGTGAAATGTGAGCTACTGCCAACACCCAAACAGCTTTTAAACAGATTGGGCACGGCCTTGTTTTAGCTCATGCCCTGAAAGTCTGATTCAATCGATCCCGGGATTGGTATCTCAGAAAACCAGCACAAGCTCTACCTCTCTGGATGTGACAAATTATGAAATGTAATAAACTCAGAACTCAGCCCAATAAAAGGTGCAATTTATACTTTTTAAAAAATTTAGCAAATAAAGGTCTATGAAAATGAAAGCAAGATAATTTAGAAATGTCACTTTAAAGAAACTTTTGGGGAGATCATTTTGCAGGTCTTAATGTTTCTCTTCAGTGTTACTCTGCCCTGAGTTACTCTGTCTCCGTTCATGTTCCTGATTGTGCCTGTGTGTGTGTGTGTGTGTGCGTGCGTGTGCACACCTGCCTTCACTCCTGTGTCTTTATCTCTGTGTGACTTTGCCCCCTACTGCCACATGCATGTGCTGTCTGCATCGACTCAGCTGGGCTCCTCTGGGCTCCTGCAGTTTACACAGGTGTCTGGCTCTTCAGACCGGCTTGGTTGGTTTCCTCCAATCCTCGAGGGCGCCTCTGGCATGCATCGCCTCTTCCAGCCCATGCATTCTGTCTGTCTTTCCTCTATTCCCCAAGGACAGAAATACCAGAGGCCATCCAGACAGATGGTTCAGAGTCCTGATAATGGGTGTGCCCCTGGAGGAGGCTCAGGACCCCGTGGTACTTTTCACAATAAAAGCCGGCAAAGGGGCGGCCGTTCTAGCATGGCTTCTTGTCACCCAACCTTGTCTCCCTTCTCTTCCTCCCTCCCGGCTTCTTTTGTGCTGGCCTCATTTCCAACAGCTTCCTCCTACATTTTGCTATATTTTCTCACTCCCAGCCCCAACTTTTTGAAAAACCATCCCTCTTTCCTTTCAAACTCAGGTTTTCTTGAGGGGGAAATTGAAACTATGGATTGCGAAGCAGCTGGGGAAGATCTGAGGTCATGAAATTTCCATCAGGATGCCTTCCTCTTGTCTCCAGGGGGTAGGGCACGGCTGCAGATGTCTTTCTCATCCTAAATCTGTATACAAATCCTAGGCATTCCAGCATGATTCCTTTCGAGAATTTGCTCCAAACAAGGAACAAAATTGAATGGGTCCTCCTGGAGCCTTATGTTTTACATTAGAAAGTCAGATATCCAGGGCAAAGGGAGAAAAACAAACAAACAAACAAACACTTCTAATAATATTTCCTGACAAAGATGTTACTTGATTTATTTATTTGGGGGGCTTGCTCTATGACTCCGCTGATCTGGCTCCTGGGAGAATCTGGGGCAGTCTGTGTTTGCCCTGCCCAGGGATGCTATCAGACGGACACACTGGTAAGACTGGAATGTCAGCCTTGTTCTTGCTGCCCTGTCCTCCCTTACCCAAGTTCAAACTCTGTCGTTTCCACAAAGCCAATGTCTTAGGCTTCCTCTGCCTCCAGGCTTTCCAGTTCTCCCATAGTTCAGCCTGTGGGGTGTCCAATGAGTTTCACCCCTCTTTCATCATAACAACACAGCTTGTCCATTTCCTCAGCTGGATCACATAGAAGATCCTCCCGAAAGTGTGCTGCACACAAAGGCACTAGCCTCTTTTTAACAAACTTTGAGACCTATAGACCTTGTGAAGTTCTTAGTTTAGAAATAACTGGGAACTCCAGACTATGAACAGAGCTGGTCAAAGGCAGCCCTACCCATGAAAAAGCTTCCTGGGAGCCTGGAGTTTCGGAAAAGATATGTCAATCATAACCTAAATCCCCAAGACGAGAAACAGTCTATCCAAAGGCAGGTGTGCCCAAAGCATCCCTTCCTAAGACAATTCCCTTCCCCCTCTTTTTTTCTGAAGGAACCCCTCCCCCAAATTTTGACATGTGTGACCACAGTGCTCATTAAGATAGGTTAAATAATACCTTAGGCTATTTCAGAAAAAGCCTTCAGCTTTAGGGGCCCTGGGTTGTCAAAACTGCTGTTGCGTGGTAAGGCAGAATTTCTGCTCTTAGTTAAATATCTCAGGTTTGCACTGTATTGCAGCTTGGCTGTCGGAAAGTTTAATGTTCCATTTCCTGCACTTGACTTTCATTTACTTAAGATTTCAGACGAAGACTTCCTTTGTGTGTTCTCCTGTCTAGAGGGCAGCTCAAGGGGGGACTTCCTAATTTGGTCAGTTCCTGGCAAGCACTCTCTTGAGACAACAGGCCCTCAGAGATTTCTAGAATCGTGCTTGGTGCAATGGAAGCTTCAGAGGGTGGCAAGTGCACATTCTCAACAACTGAAGGTGATAGTGTTCCTTAAACAGCTCTCTCACCTACTAAGCAGGCTTGGACGAGCCTCCGCGCTGTTTGCTCAGAACCCTGGATTCGGGGGGTTTTACCTACATAGCTTCGCATTTCCTAGGAATCACCTTAAGATGAAGCCATTCACCTCCAACTCGTGCTTCCCAAGTGTGGATTTGTAGAACATATTTTAATTGTGAATGTTTCAAAAGTTTTCCCCAAGTACTTATTTGAAAACAACTATATTCAGGAGGGAAGCCTTGGAGGAACAGGGATGGAGACAAGTCTCCAGGAAGGTCACATAAGGCGGTGCCCATTAAAGCCCAGCCAGTTGCGTGGGTGGTACTGAGAGAGTGGGCAGCTCTACAGCAGTCATTCCCAACACCCCCAGGACCTCAGACTATCTGGGAGTGGGGTCCAGTGACTCCATCTGAGCAGGCTCTCCAGTGGAGACAAAAGCCTTTCCTCCCACAGATGGTGAAAGTTCTGGGTAAGGTAATGACAGGAATCATTTTTAAGAACTTGGGGAGATCCCCTCATAGTCCCAAGTCACCTACTTACCATCATTATCTAGCAACAATCACCTGCTGAGCCTGGATCAGTTGAGAGTCTGTATCTCAAGGCCCGAGCAGTGGGCAATACACCTGTTAAGTTCGTAAATGCCATGATGAAGGTGTACGTGACCTTGAAGCTCTCCTGAGACTGTGTTGGGATTTTAAGGTTTCTTTGGACCACACGTGAGATACTATAGGCTTTTTATACATAGCTGTGCTTGCCAATTATTTAGTCAGAATCACATGGAACATGGTTAACAATGTAATTTCTAATTACTTCATGAATTTTTTCTTTTACTTTAGATCACAAATTCCTTCTGTGTATAGACCATGGTGTCTGGTATAGGACTGATCTTTGTGTTTGAGAGATACAGCGATACAGAAATGGAGATGGTGAGTGGGCTGACAGGCTGTAAGTACCGTTTCTTTATTAAAATGACCAAGAAAACAAGAGGAACATTGATCTCTTTTCTGTTTATACTATAAAGGAACTAAATGTAGCATGAATTCTAGTTGGTCTTAATAAAAACTTGGATTCAGCTGTTAGGGGGTGAAAGCTAAGTGATCAGAGAAGCAGAGCACTCAGTCACTGGAGAGTTCTTACCTCTACCAATGCTCACACCAAAGAGGGGATCCTGTCTCTGCGAATCCTCAGACTTGCTGTCGCTACAAAACTTCAGACTGCCTTCTCAGACTGAGTCCTCAGACTGCATCTGAGCTCCTGACTCCTCCTGCCTTATATTCCTCTCTCCACCCAGCCATACCACACCCGTCTCCACCTCCCTAGTGCTGGGGTTAAAGGCATGTGCTCCCCTTGCTGGGATCACCTTTGTGTGAGCTCTGTTTCTCTTTTAGACAGATTCAGTCTTGTGTAGCCAAGGGTGACCTTGAACTCACAGAGATCTCTTTGTCTCCTGAGTGTAAGGATTAAAGGTGTGAGCCACCACTGCCTGGCCTCTATGTCTATCTAGTGGTTTAGCTCTGCACTCTGATCATCAGGCAAGCTTTATTTCTTAGATTATAAACAAAATATCACTACAATTAAACCTGAAAGTTTATAAGTAGAGTTTCTTAGAATCACATTTTTGTTTAAAGAGCAAAATTTCAAAAGTTCTGTTTTATATGTATTTGTTCAGAATTTAAATATGTATCACCTGATAATATTTGGCGGTTTAGCAGTCAGGACACCTTGGACTTGAATTCCAATTCTACCACAAGTTAGCTACACGAACTCAGGTGGGTTATTATGTCCTTTATGTTTGGTTTTCATTTGTACAACACATGTGTGCCACAAAACATGGCAAACGGTAACAAGTATATCACAAAGCATGGTTGACAGTAACATGTGGTCATAAAGCATGGCATACGGTAACTAACACGTGTGTCTCATCAGATTCTGGTGATGTGGGA